TCTTATCAGTTAATGTCTCTCTTCTGGAAAGTTGTTGGTATTCTAGAGTTGTCTGTAAACCTTTGGGCCTGTGCTGCAGTAAATGATGGAGCATCACCGAATCGCAAGGTCTTTGACCTTCATGCAATGTATGTCAGTGACGTGCAACTTGATGTCATTCACAAGGTTCACAATATTTTTGCTACATTGCGGTTCTTCGCTGATGCTTGTCACCTCATAAAAACTGCTTGGAACTGTCTCTACAACTCTGGATCAGGTTCGCACAGTCGATTTATGTGGAATAATGGTCATCACTTACTATTCAGGCACATCGCGGATCTGTTCCACAGTGATCAAGAGTTTGCTTTGCACACCTTACCAAAGTTTCTCTTGATCACATTGTTCTTACGTCCTACAGCAAGATGAAAGTGAGGTTGGCAACCCAAGTCCTAAGTCAAACCCTATGGCCTGAATGATGCCAACTTTTTTGTATACCCAATCTCAAACTAAGGTTTTTCATTTACACTTATATTCCTTTTTAATTCTATTCCGCTTAACCGATATGCAATCAGCAACCTTAGTATAGAAATTTGATTTGCAGAGTTCTAGTCCACGTGGCAGATGGTCTACTGTGCACGAGGAAAAGCAGAGAGAGCTTTATTAGGTCTATTTGTAGTTTACACATATCACATGCAGCAGACCTTTTGCCATGCTACAAGTTATATCTTACCATCTTCAAATGGTATTTGTATATATAAGTTACTATGTTCAACAAAAAACAATTATTCAATTTGTACTTTAATCTGTCTAACTAATTAATGAATGGCAGACAATTATATTTGTGTGGTCACAATTGGATAAAATCATTCCAATTTATAAATAATTTATATATTATTTTGGCTACATATAAAATATTATGACTTCATTAAAGTTATTCTTCACTTATTATAACTTATATTCTGAATGGTCCATAATTTCCATACGGTCTGTTCGTCCACAATTTATGTTGTAAAAACCAACAAGGTGGTCTGGAATGTGTATCATTATCAGGTTCGCAGCTTTGTAGTCCTTGCAGTTTAACAATCGAGTTGACTGTGGCATTAATGCAAAAAAACGACTCGACCAATTGATCTTGGCTTTTCTTTTGGCAAAATTTTGCATACAGCGGGAAAAGTGCATCAAACAAAGTCTTCACACTGTCGTTCATTTTGGGGCCATACAATTTTTCACGAACAATTTGGGACTTAATGGACTCCACAATTGACGCAACTGTATCGAGGAAGAAAAGATCTAATTATGGCGATGTCTGCTCAGCTGTGATGTTGTGGTGCTTTGTGTTTGTGTGTCTCGTTAGCCGCCTTTTGACTTGCAAACTTTTTCATATTTTGCTCAGGGAAACGATTTCTCACCATGTATTTCGCTCAAAGGGTCGTTGAATTCGTCTTCTATATCTTCTCCTTCGGCCTCAGTAATAGCAACAGTGACCTCTAAGTTGTAGAAATCATATTCTGGATCTTCTAAATATATTTCAGACTCCCTTTCGCTTGATTGTGCCATTTGTATGCAATATTTCGATACAAATGAGTTGGAAACCCAATACCCAATATAACCGATTGGAAACCCAATACCCTCGGGGGTTTTAGTGTAAAATACCGTAATATGAGCTTCTTGCTGGATAAAATCTCATTGGAGGTCCAATAGAAGCATGATGGTTGTCATAATTATTAAAAAATATTCTCTCAACAGGAAAACAGGTTCAAAAAATCGCTTACATTTTGCAAACTACTGTGTATCGCCTATTGTTTATATCTTATGCTCCTTGTGTCATGAAGGGATCACACCGCACAACAAATTTTTGGTCGGATTTCAACATAATTTCACATAGCCTTTGAAGTTCACCGACTAGCCTAACCAGTCTCCTTCTATTAACCGTGGTTTAAGCATGAATTGTTGTGTTGCTGATTAGTTTCCACAGGCAAACTGAATTAACATTTGGAACAAGACTCCTCCCTCTTCAATGTATGTTGAACGGTTTAAATTGTTCAGTTCCATTACATAATGAAAATACTCTTCAAACACAGTGTTTTCTTCACCTTCCCCATCTAATTCCTCTAATCTGTTTCCCATCTGTTATTTTTTCAGCGGAAACTGGGTGAATATACTCATGGTGTCCAAATTCTTCGGGTAAAAAATACATCATGTCAGGTACACGAGACCACAGTGAATAGAAATAGGATGGTTTTGATAGCCGGCAAACTTCAAAACAGGGCGGCAAATATGTTGTGCATCAAAGGAAAAAAACTCACATGACTTTTAGTGTGCATGGTGTAGGGGTAAACAATAGTGAATTGTAATATTAGGCTTTCTGTAATTTGATATATATTTCATCACTTAAACCGCTAAAATGTGATTGCTATGGATTTCGAAGAGCAAATGCAAGGACATGCTTCAAAGAGTGAAGATTCGGGGGAAACTTCGTGTAGAAGACATGATATTGTTCCACCGCTTTTGACAATGAGTGAGCAAGACGAGAGCTCTTTTGAGCATAATGAACAGTTTCATGAACTGCTTGAGTCATTTTATGGATTGATGCTAAATTCATCAACACTTTTAAATTGCAAAGATTCACGAGTTGCTAACCCAGTTATGATCCATATTCCAGATCATTTAGTTGGGTTTTGTAATGTTGGTTTAGTGGGAGAAAAAACATTGGAATCTGCAGACTACGAAATTCAGCCTAGCGCCCATGGACCTCTTTCATACATTGCAGGCTATGTTATGTCAAAATTAAATAAAGCAAGTAAAGGAAAGTCAGAGGAAGAAAAACCTGAACTTCAAGCTTTGTTACAAAGTTTAATAGTATCTGAAGAGGAAGTTAGCAACGAATTCATATCAGCCAAGACAAGGGATGGTCTTGTTACCCCTTGCCAGGATAGTGTTAGGAATTTACACAAAGCAGAGATTTGTTTTCGAAAGGAAGTTAACAAGACTGATGTCATTCAAAACATTCCTGTGGATGCAATTTGCTTTTTTCGTCTATCCGCTTGCCCATTGTCAAGTCGCTATAGGAAAATATTGTGTTGTCTTCTGGTGTAAATCCATCTTGTGATATAAACAAGTTATGTCTTGAAAAGATTGTGAAAATGTTCTTGAAGGTGATATCATTCTCGTATACCAATGACTATGTCACACAATATAAAATAAGGGAAAGTACATTTATTATGCCGAGGGGAGGGTATGAAGATGTCTTGAAAAAAGCTCATATTTTTACAGGGGCCCTGTTGAGGTTATTGGTAAATTTTCGATGCCCCCTCCAAGTTTTTAAAATGTTCAATGCCCCCCCCCCTCCAGAATTCGGAATCGAAGGAGTACAATCCAGAATTCTCTCTTATAGATACAACATACTCCTCTACAAAAATACAGACCTGCTGCTTCTTTCACCTCACTAGTGCCAGAAGAAAAGGCACCGTTGGCTCTAGGGGTGAAATTATTAACAGGTTGTTGTTGTCTGTCATTCAGCATAGTCTGAGTCTTGAACACATTCACATGGAACCTTAGAGAATGTTGCCTGCCACCCAACATATCTCCTGGCATCTGTTGCAGATGTCTTTGCACGTCTGTCAAAAATGCATGTAAAAGTGCCAAGTATGCTTCAATTTCTTTAATTTTCATCCTGTTTGTACTAAATATCCCATAAACATGGAACATATCATTCTTACAAATTGTATGCTTTTTTGTTTTTGGAACTGCTGCTTTTTGGAAATTACTTCACAAACCTGGCAACACAAAATTTTAAATAAAGCTATAGGTGATTTCATGTATCCATTTAGAAGAGTAGACTAAGAATATCTTAAAACTGAAATCGGTTTCGAATACAACCATCAGGGACGTAGCAAAGCATCTGACGTTTGGGGGGGGGGAAGGAGGGGAGGTGTTGGAGGATTATACAATGTATAATATACATGTAATAATTATAATAAAGTTTTTGTGATTGAATGGCACTCTCATACTAAGTCTTGGGAGAAAGGGGGTCTGGGGTCCTCCCCCAGAAAATTTTTACATTTTTGAAGCCCTAGGACTGAATATCTGGCGTTTTCTAAAGCATATTCACAAACAAATTTCATGTAAATTGACTGTATTTTACAAAAATGGTTATCATTTCACAAACATAATTACTTTATTATGCAAATTTAATGCCAGAAAATATTTTGGTGCCTCCCCTTAACATCTTCACTCCCCCCCTTCTGCATAATAAATGTATTTCCCTAAAAGAGAAACAAAGCAAAAAGAAGGCATTGAAAAAGGACTTGAAGCAAAGCTCGGAAGTATGAACTATACTAAGATCATGCCAAGTGTAAATAAGATTATCCCCGAGTAATTCCCCCCGGCTATTTACACCCGGGGAAACGAAAGCATTGGCGAAGTCTAAAGTTCATCAATTATTGCGGGCGTGGGTGACCAACGATGTTGGGGTGGGTGGTCATCCTCACTGTTCTCAAAAATATGGCGGACTGTCATGAATAGTGAACACTGATTGGTCCAGTTTAAAGTTTGCATTATAATCACAGGAGGCCCAGGCTCAATTTGCCCGCGCCCGCCTTGTGCCTTCCTTTTTATTAATGTTTACATTTAAAAATTGAAAAAATGTTTTACAATTTGTTACGAGAAACGATTTTCCAAGCTTTCTTACATGCATTTTTTATATTTTCCCTTCTTCACTCCTGGCAAACAGCCATATTTTGAGATCAGTGAGATGACCACCCATATACCATGCGCCCACAATATTTGATGAACTTTAGACTTCACTAGTTAGTGTGTTCCTTTCCCTGGGTGTAAATAGCCGGACAGAATTAATAATTTGTCATCCACATTTGTCATGAAAATTGCAAATATCTGAAGCTGTGAAAGCGTAGTTTCATGGCGAGAACTTTCACTGTTAAGTCATGTTGATCAGATGATCAACGCCGATTTTAAAAACGAAACGTTTCCAAAACCCAGCAATGTTTGGTATCAAAATGAAGCTTAGGAACCTCTCTATTCGAATTTATAAAGAGGGGGGTTGGACCAATAATCTTAAGCTAAAAGTTGTGCTTGCGTTCTCCTTCATACCATGTTTCGTACTACCGGATTCATTATCTATTTTCCTACACTAGTTTCCAGGTCACCACGCTTTAAAGCCATTGTTATGCTAATTCACCCATAAGTAGACAACCGCCCAAAATGCCTTTGTATTTGTACGCCAGTCTTTCCTTCACTTGTCCGGGATAAGTTGTTAGTATTTTATTTTAAGATATCTGACAACGAACCACGTATCATTGAAGAAATTGATAGTCACCCTTCTGCTGGAGGTGGTGCTGCTATCTCAAATTCGGTCGCTGTTGTGTCTAAGCGGGAAGAGGTTTAATGGCGATTCTTATCAACCTGGTTCTTTAAACTTCAAGCGCCGGTCGGATCCGTATAGCTTATTTACTTACACGTCAAATCCATACATATTATTATTTTCTTAGATGACATTGCGGTTCTGGGCAATTCTTTTGCTGATTGTTCACAAAATGTATCTACCGTAATCAAAGTGCTTGAAGAAATGGGGTTTGTTGTAAATAATGAGAAGTCTTCCTTATTGCCAAAACAGGTTGCGACCTATATTGGTTATTTATTAAATTCACACGAAATGACAATTTCTTTGCCAGTTGACAAAATGCCAAAATTTCCGCTTTTGAGCTGTTTTGCCGAGCAAGTTGCACTACTGTGCCTTAGAACATTTGAAAATCACTTCATTAGAAAAGAATAATAATGATTATGACAAGAGCGTTGTCCTTACTGCCAAAGCCTGTTCAGATCTACATTGGTGGGTCGTTAATGCTCCCAATGCAAACAGAGTTTCTCTTCAAAAATCGCAAGATATTGTCTCTATAACCACAGATGCTTCTCCGTCAGGTTGGGGAGCCCATTGTAATGAAATTAAAACAAGGGGTAATTGGTTCCAAGTGGAAACAGGTAGGCACATAAACTATCTTGAGCTTTTAGCTGTTTTGTTTGCTTTAAAAGTATTCATTCGGTTGGATAGATGTAAATTAATGTGTATTGTGACAACACAACTACGGTAACATATATTAATAATATAGGTGGTATGATACCCTCACTAGATCTTTTAAGCACTCAAATTTGGCAATGGTGTCTCGATCGTAACTGTGAAATTGAAGGTTTTCATTTGCCAGGATGCCAGAATTACTGTGCTGATTATTTATCACAGGTACCTTGCCCTAGGTTAAAGTGGAAATTAGATCCCGATATTTTTCAACAAGTTTCTGAGGTTTCTTTTATGCCTGACGTTGATTTATTTGCTTCATGTCTTAACACACAATTAGTTAGGTTTGTGTGCTGGAAACCAGATCCTGATGCTTGGTTCTATAATGCTTTTTCTCAACCATGGAAAGGATTTACACCTTATTTTTTCCACCCTTTAGTTTGTTGGGGAAAGTGTTACAAAAGATCCAATACGACCGAGTGCGGAAGGCCATGGTGTTTACTCCATGCTGGCCAACCTCAGCGTCGTATCCGACCCTGTTATCTCTTCTTTTCGATCTTCCAATCCTACTTCCACAGAAGCCCGATTTGTTGACGTTGAACGGGACACAGCTATATCCGTTGCGAGACAAAATTTTCGTTGCCACTTGGCATGTCTCAGGGGACAATTCAGTAGTTCTGGATTTTCTTTGTGCACAGCCAACCTCATCCTTAGTTCCTGGTGAACTGGTACGAACAAGCACTACTCCTTGGTGTGGCAAAAGTTCTGTGGCTGGTGTGATTCAAAACAAGTCCATCCAGTTCAAGCATCTTTAGCCCACACGTAGCAGAGCTTCTTACCCAAGAGTTTGATACCGGCAAGTGTTATCATACTATGAATATGTATCGTTCTGCGTTATCCTCTGTACTCCCGCCAATAGATGTAAAACCGGTTGGGCAGCATCCAATCATAATTTGCTTGCTCAAAGGAATTTTTAACGAAAAGCCCCCTCTTCCACGTTACACTGCTCCTTGGAATGTTGACATGGTTTTGACTTTATGTCAAAACTTTGCACCCAGTTGGGTAATTGTCCTTAAAGCTACTGACTCTTAAATTGAATGCTCTCCTTGCATTGATCTCAGCTCAACACGCTCAAACGTTAGTTGCCTTGGACACAGCATTTATGACTATTCAACCAAATAAAATTACGTTTGTTGTTGCTGCTTTACTTAAAGCGTCCAGACCTAACAAAGACACACTACAGTTGACTCTTTGTCGTTATTTGACCTTGTTGACTCCTTGTGTTCTTATTTGACTTTGCAGGAGTATTTACGATGTACGGAATCTTCTCGGATTGCAGCTAATACAACTAAACTGTTTTTGTCTTTCATTAAGCCTCATCGACCTATAGTAAGTAAGTAAGTAAGTAAGTAAGTAAGTAAGTAAGTAAAAGCTTTATTTAAAGAGGGTAGCACTAAATAGCCGAGGCTAATAAACTTGTGGCCCTCATTCATAACTAGTATTAATTACATGCTGATGTTTAAAATATATACAATATTATAAGCTATTTACAAGGTTAAAAACTATGACTATAAATTAGATCGATGTATAGTTAATAATATTTGCTAATAGATCTAGATACTAAAATGATGTAAAAGTTGTTGGTCTTTGAGAATGTTACTCCACAAATTGTTCTTGAAGCAGTTTAACGAATCCACCTTTCTGATATTTAAAGGGATACTGTTCCACAGTTTAGTTGCAGTAACTAGAAATGTGCGTCCACCCTCAGTTTCCCTCTTATATTTAGGGCAAATGGCATTAAAATTAGCATAACGTGTGTTACGCGAGTTACGTACATTGTTCAAAATAATGTAGTCGCCAAGATAGCTAGGTAAGTTATTATGTATGCGTTTATAAAAAAATGCACATTTATCAATTTTACATTGCTCGTAAAAAGGAATCCATGCTAATTCATTAAATAGAGCTACTGAAGGTGCCTGGCGATCTGCAAACATGACAGTTCTAGCAGCCCGTTTCTGAAGTTTTAAAATTCTGTTCAAGTAAGATCTTATTGCAAGTACCCCAGATGGTGCTGGCATAACTCATAACTGGCCGGATGATTGCATTGTAATATTGTAGGCGTTGGTTAAGTGGCAAGTAGACCCGAATTTTCCTCAATACGGCTATGCGAGAAGCTAGTTTCTTGCACACTTTTTCGATCTGATCATCAAATGATAGTAACTTATCAATATCAAGACCCAATAAGGGTGCACTATAGACACTATCAAGAATCTTATTATTAAGCATAACATTCAGCTTCTCGTCAGTCCTGGGCGCAAGCCTTTTCCCCGTAATCAGCAGAACCTTGGTCTTGGACTCATTAATTGAAAGCTTATTTGCGTTTGCCCAATGCTGTACTTCACTAACAGAACTGTTTAGTGAAAGTTCTAAATTTGATATATTGCTGAAGTCGGAAGAGTCTATAATAGTAGTGTCATCTGCGTAAAGATCAATTTGAGAAGTTACATGTAGTGGTAAATCACGTGTTCACGCTGGAGTGGATGTCTCCATCTTCAAAGGACATAGTTATCGGGGTGCAGCTACTTCTAAGGCAGTGCCGCAGGGTTTTCAGTTGATTTAATTTTGAAAACTGCGGACTCGTCTACTGAAAGTGTGTTTACGCGGTTTTACCATAGAGACTCTATAGTTTACGAAGAGTGTTTTTCTCGTGTGGTAATAATAACTTCTTAGTTATATGCAAATAAATGTTATTCCAATGTTTGTGTTGCTTTGAACATGCATAATAAATCCTGTAGTGCGAAACGTGGTATGAGGGAGAATGAAAATTATACAAAGGTACTTACCTGCAGTTTACTCTTCTTACATGGCCCACCCGGTGCCACAAATTGTTTTTTATTAGCGTACGTTCCGGAAAGACTGGTGTACGAAGGCAGTTTGGGCGGTTGTCTACCTATGGTGAATTAGCATAACAATGGCTTTAAAGCGTGGTGACCTGGAAACTAGTGTAGGAAAATGCATAATGAATCCCTCCGTGCTCAACATGGTATTTGGAGAACCTCAATTACAATGCAGGTAAGTACCTTTGTATAACTTTCATTTTACTTCCGGCTTCGCTGATGGTGGGAAATCTGTCAGTATGAATATATAAACACTATGTCTGCCGTTCTGAAAGCATTCAATTTATATAAATTAAAACAAAAGATTTCTTTCTCAACGGAAACTTGCATTAATCATCCTCAGAAAGGTATTACTGAAGAGGAAAACATTGTTGTGACTGTCAATATTCCACACAAGTACCTAGAACAATTGTATGACTTGAAGCAAGATGGTAAGTTAACTGGCCTGTTGTACATCGAGGTTTTGAATGCATTTATATCACAGAATGCCATGGAGATAAAGCTAGACTGCGAAATAATTAATAGTACAATACGTATATATTGTGGGGAGACTAAAAACAAAAGGTTGCGAGGCCATGTAAGAACAGAGTACTTGGCGAAATCAAAATGCATTTCTCTTTAGGAGAAGGAAATTGCCAGGGTGTCCGAGGCGAAGAATGAGCTAGAAACTGCAAAGGCAGTTTGTGATACCTTGTCCAAAGAGAAAGACAATTCAAATGAGCAATGCAAGATACTATCGAAAGAGTTGTGTACATTGCAAGGAGCCAAGAAAGAGACTGAATGAAAGTTGGAATGTGTGACGGGATATCAAGAAGAGCTAAACAAGAATGAAGCACTGAAACAGTACATTGAGAAAATGGGAATCCCAAAAAATTGTGAAAATACTGGAAAATGTATAGCAGATGTGGGGAAAAGGCAACAACATTGGAAAATAAAAGAACTCAAAACACAAGTTGAGAGAACTCTTTGGTTTGCTAATACCTATGGACTGCATTTGGAGTCTTTAAAATTATCTGACACTCTGGTGCTGGATATGAATTGGAATTTACAGAAGGTGGAACCAAAAAGGGTTATAAAGATTTACCAGAAGTTGAAAAGCAGAAAATTAAAGAAGTTCTTTTGATCCAGGATACGTTTTCTGTGGGTGAAGCAGCATACCATGAGCTTTCCATGATCCCGGCAGGTCAAACCCTCCCTCGGTTGTACCTGGTTAAGCACTGCAAGGATTCCTTGAATCAGTTGTGTCAAATCGAGCGAACACCAGGGAAAAATGAAGGTGCCCAGGTCAACTTTTATGATGCACTCAGGAATCCAATCCAAAATCATGTAAGTTAATCGATCAATGAAAAACAACATCCTGCATGTGTGTGTATCATTGCATATATTGCAATATAATGAAGGGGAAATTATTTACCCAGATTTTTTTTACTCTTGTATAAATGAGAACCTGTACTGCAAATGGTGTAAGTCCTCCTGAGAGATACAATATAAAGTTAAGTGGGGATGGTGCCAAAATGACGAAGCTTACTGGCTTCATAGTCATCTCATTTTCAATTTTGAATTCTGGAGATGGTGTGATGTCTCCAAAAGGTTAGCCTATCCGCATCTCATTGCACGCCGCTATGATGTTATTGTCCAATTTGTAAGATGGAATTAGACTGCGAACAGTGTATGTACACAGAAATTTCTAAATTCCAGGA